TCAAACTTCTGGAGAATGGGGATAGTCCTGCGCAACTCCAAAGTGAGGCTCCGTTACTGTTTGTAAAGGGCTTTGAGAGCCTTGGGTGGAAGCCTGTAGAGAGGAGAAGAGTATTGTTCTGACAGCCTGGAAGCCACATAGTGGACTTTGAACATCCCCTCTAGGTCACAAGTGATTATTTCTGACCCACCTATTGGTTCCAGTGACAGTCCCAGCTTCTGCTGTACTGGGCTGAACTGATCCAGGTTTGCCCTCTTTTTGGGTTCAGTTAAAAGCTGTAGGTGTAGGGAAACCAGTTGTGTGCATGCATTACCGTTCTTGTCTCATTCAGAGGGTGGCCAGCCATAGCCGTGGGGTGGTGCTGAATGGACAGCTCCACTTTCCAATCACGCCTATCCCACTAAGCTCTTTTGCCTCCTCCAACAGGCAGATTTGAGTAACTAAACGAGGCTAGGTCTACGCTGGGGTGTGATTCCCAGCCCGCATACACAAGTCGGGGCAGCTCGATGAGACCTACTGCAAGTATACATAGTAGTATAGCCACGGTAGCAGCAGCATGGCTTAGCCAAGGCGGGTTTCTGCTCGGCACAGCTAACCTGCCACTGCCCATGGTACCACAGCTACACTCCGACTTATACAGGCGCCAGGCCTCATCAGGCTAGTACAGGTATGCGTATGCGAGCTGGGACTCACGCCCCCTAGCGCATTGTATAGGTACAGCCTTAGCGCATATTGATTTGGTACCCATATAGCAAGGAGGAAATGCCTCTAAGAACAGAGGGATTTTCACCACTTCCCCTTTCTCATCCCATTGTTTTCTCCACACTGCTTTGCTGCAAGGTATTATTCCAGCAGAAGAGCTTGACTTGTGCTTTGTTTAGTAGCACAGGTCATAGCTCCTCTGATTTCCCCCTCTGTGACCCCCCCCCACATACACACTTGCTGAGCCCTCCAGAGCGCAGAGCCTCCTGCTCCCCTCCCCCGACCGGTGCGTCTGGATTCTGTTAATTGCATCTGGTAGCTGGCGCCGGGACGGAGCTGCAGACTCTCAAGTGCCAGGAGATGTTCACACGCCGCTTTCCCAGCTCATTAGGCGGCTGGCAGCAGCTCGACTGACCAATGTCCTTTTGTCCTCTGGCTCCTTTTCATTGTCATTGACAGAAAGGGCCGATTTGCAGAAAGGAGTGGGGAAGGAAAGCTCCAAATGGAATGGGTGCAGCTGGTGAACACTGGGTCAGAACTGCTGAAAGGAAGAAGCTGTATCTTGCAAGAGTCTGAAGGGAAACCAGGAAACTGGCTCTGTGGAGACAGAGTAAAGCTTAGATAACCAAACACAAGGCAATGAGAGTTACCAGCCAGTGGAATCAGTGTGCCATGCACCAGGGCTCTCAGTTCAACTCCTCTCTATCACATGCAGCTCCTGAAGTAGATGTCAAAGTAAAGGCCTCGTGGTCTGGTTTGTTTCTGTTACGGTCATAAGTTCTTTTACCATAGCCGAGTGGGTGCTCCTTTTGGGTTCATTGGCAGCGCCAAGGTATAACAGCCACACCATGGCAATACTGTGACACTGAATGGCTGTTGAAACAGTATGCCCTGGAATGGTTTGAAACCTACTTTCAATAAAATATTCAAACATGTATGTCCAAATTACACCATCGCATCTGCCAGCAAAAGTCCACAGGGCTCAGTGTCTAGCCAGACCCTTAAAATCACAAGAAACTGACCCACCTTTCCTAATCCCCATGTAAAATCCTTGCTCAGTCTGCCAGAAAGGGTGAGGTAGTCTTTCTCCAAAAGGAAGAGATGGGAAAGGCCAAAGATTTAACAGTGCCTGGACCCCCTGCAATCGTAAGAGACTGACACACTTGATCCCCCTGGAAGATCCTTGCTCAATTTGCCAGAAAAAGGAGGAAAAGATCCCTGCCAAAATACTCAGGGGAAAATTTCTTCCCAGTCCTAGTTTCTGGAGGAGCATGCTAAGCCTGCACATTAGAGCAACAAGACACTATGCCTGCATCTTCAGGGGACAGAAAATCCAAAATGTCCATGGAGAAAGATCCAAATCCTCTGTTCTCCCCAGCTACAGAGAGCCCAGATCGACCCAAAGGACAAGGTGTACCTTGAAAGAACAAGCTTCCCTTGCAGGAAAGGGCAAATTGAAATAAGAACTTACCCGCTATATATATTTTTTCTTTCAGGCACATACTATCTCTCCCGGTGTCACCTGCTAGCCATGTGCTGTTCCAGTTGCACAGCCTGTAGGAAACAGAACAGCTCCTCAGCTCAGTGGTGCCCCATGAAGCACTCTTGGGTGGTTCTCAAAGCTGCCTCTGTCATAATGGGGAAGCATCCATCAGTCGCCAAGCAGTGATGCTGCTGGCACTAGCCCAACATAGGGGTCTCATAGGATTTCCAAACGCTTTTTTGATTAGCTAAATTAAAACAACCACCACCTGCCCGTCTCTGCCCCTTGCATTGCTGCAGCAAGTTGGACTTTTCTGGGGTAAATTGAAGCACGATCAGCCTTGTGTTGGGTATTAGAACTGGAAGGGCTTGTAGAGTGACCAGGCGGCGGTCGGGTAGCAAAGGCAGAGCTGCAGCCAGGGAAGGGAGGTAAACAACACAAGTACAAAAGAACCACATGGCACTGAGGTGAGAGTATGTTCCTCTTATGTCCTTAGTACTGTCCTATAGCTGTCACCTTTCCAAACACTTGTTGCCAGGGGGAAGATGAGGGATCAAGGCGGGAGGCTGGGAAGTGAGGTGTCCATGAAGGGACGTGGTAAACAGCATGACAGTGTTGGAAAATGAGTGCCTTAGCTCTGCAGCTCCTCTAAAACCTCTCCCAGGCAGATCTCTTCCTACCCTACAAGGTTACACAGCTGACTCAGCAAAGTGAAGGGAACGTCGTACTTTGTAGAGGCCTGAAGTGTATGTCAGCAGTGGCCTTCCCGTTAGCCCTACAGAGAGCGGCCGGTTCATCACTGCTGACTCCCTGAGGTCGTTGTGGCTGCTTTGTACCCTGCATACAAGCAAGGTGGGAGTAGCCCACTGCCGGGGAGACCAGAGGCTGGAGCACGCTGGGCCTGATGGCAGGACCCTAGGAACAGCCACTCCTGGGGAGAAGCTTTGGGCTGGGGTTTGTATAATTCTCCTTTTTGTTAATAAAATCCAACCCCAGAAGGCTGTGACTTTTTGGCTCCCAACAACTAGCGTGTTCTTTGTCTGCATCTGAGTGGGGCCTCCATCAGTCTCCATGTTCTTCCCACCACGCCCCTGATGATTTGACCATTGTATTAGCAGCGGAGTCTAGTGGGCGGGGGAGGAGCTACGAGTCGAGATTCCCAGGTTCTGCCCTTCACTGTGCCACTGACTGGCTGTCAGACCTTTAGGCAAGTGCTATATTTCAGTTTCCCCAGCTGTAAAATGGAGAGAATACTTCCTCATCTGGCCAGGGTTAATTAACTCTAACTGGGGGAAAGGCCACGTAGAAGTATTAAGTACTGTTTGTTATATTTTGCACTGAGTCATCCGGTTCACTCCAAGAGCTCAGCTCTGTACGGGGGAGGAAAGGGTTAAACTCAGAAAAGGTGGGTGCCTGCAGCCTGTGCTGGGAAAGCAGACTCTCTGCAGACTGGGCATGTTTTCTTCTGATGAGGGCAGCAGCTGAGCGTGCTCATTGCCACGGGGGACTGCTGCAGCTGCAACCTTCCGTCGCAACAATGGCCCACGCTAGCAGCAGCCCTGGGCGGAGCCAGAAAGGATCCTGTATCCCAACCTCGCGCTCAGACGATTGTGAGGAGGGAGAAACAGGCAGGATTTACCATCATTGCAGACCAGTAGCAACCTTCCCTTCCTAGGATGATTTAAATCCTCTCTAATCTACTGCTGAGATAAAGGACCGGAGCAGCTGCAATAGAGATGCTGCCGCACTGGAAAGTCAGAGGTGCAGGGATCTCCACTGTGTGCCTGCCACCCTCCTGGGCTCTTGGCTTCACGGTGTGCTGAATCAGCGTGCTTTTGTTGTGAGTCAGCGCCTCCGGCCCGAGTCCCTTTCCCTGGGACTGTCATGACCCATGTGTCTCGTGGACCTGCCGCAAAGATGGAGAGTGGCAGCATGGGGGTTCAGTGGACAATTCTTATCTTGGAAAACTTAGGGTCATTGACAATCCTGCTTATCCCAGCTAGAAGGTCAGAGGCCCAGTAGTACCCCTTGGTGTGGTGAGTTTGTTACCCAGTTAACCCATGGCAACCCCCTTTACATCATCAAATTACCACCCAGGCAACCCTTAGCATCACTCAGTCTCTGTCGCCCTGAGTCCAGAGCTCTGTCCCTGGGACACAGGTTTGTGTTCAGTTTCATTCACCCTGCAAGCTATAATTAAAAGCCATTTACATGCATCTTGGGTCCAGTGCTCAATAGTGCTTCATGGACCCAAGTTTACCTTGGTTCCCCACACACCTGGCCTTATCTCTTCTTTTCATTGTAAATTACTGATTGACATCAGAAATGCAGGATCATAAAATGGAGGGACCCTCTCTACAGGCTGCAGGGTTTGCCCTACCCAGGGTCAAGTACCTTTTATAGGCACTGATCGGCGATGTTTCAGGGGTGCTTTTTAAATGTCATTCTTACTGAGTTTGGAACTGTTTAGGGGAGGTATCCGGGCAGCCTTCACTGTGTAGTTATTTATAAATGCTGAAATTCACCAGCTCCCAATCTGCTTTTCTTGCAGTTGGGGGGAAGATTCCTCCTGGGTGATTCAGACCTGCAGAGATGGTAAAACACCTTTAAGGCATCTGCCTGTGTAGCTTACTGTCCCGCCAGCGGATGTGGGAGACACTTGTACAGTATCTCAGCATCTGGCTATTTGGAAAGGCCTTCAGAGAGCCCAATTGCCACAAATGGGTCTCTGTGTATCCTTCTGCTTCCTTCCCCCTGAGAGAGACATGAGATTGCCAATAGACCTCTCCACTCATTGCTGTTTCTTTCTTTTCAGCCTACAAGGAGAAAATGAAGGAGCTGTCCTTGCTCTCACTGATCTGCTCCTGTTTCCACACTCAGCCGCACCCCAATACCATCTACCAGTATGGAGGTAAATGACATACACGCAGAATCTCTTGTAGATCCAATCTGCAGGCAGCTTCTGTAAACCTTGGAGGACTTCAATACATTAGGCTGGGTCCCTGACTCGGGGGAGAGACCATTTTCATGTCCTGACCCACTTCCTTAGAATAGTTTATTAACATGTGACCCACATACCCACAAAGAAACTGTATGACTATTACCAAACAGCACCATTACATATCCTGGGATATGATTCTTGATGTTATCAGCAGTATGGCCTTTCTGTGGCTGCCATCAGCTATGCTGTACGTATTCTATGGCTGTAAGATTAATTGCATTAGCTACACACCACACTTCTTTATGCAGTTCCTGTGAAAAGCCCCTGAATGGGCAGAGAGAAAGATGCCGCTGCTGGGTCTTTCAGATAGAATGTAAGACAAGGTATTGACCTCCTGTGGTCACCAAAGGCCTCATGGTTCTTTTCATAAGAGCAGGGAAGTTAATTCTGGTGTCCTGGCGAAATTCCAATATGGGTAATTCCATTCTGCCTCCCCAAATTCCCCCTGCAGGTTCAGCTGAACCCCCAAATCCCCTTCACTTTCTGACCCCTACTGCCTACTGTTGCTCTGCATCGTAACATTTGACAATGATGCTCCTACTTCTAGGCTGTATAGTGTCATTGTCCCTTTTACCAGCAATAAATGATTGACTTCAAATTCTCACCTCTCTGAAACCCTCCAGCAGAGACTCAAGTGACAATACGCCCCATTTAGAAGCATAGCATCACAACCAGGTCTCACTGGGTGATCACAGCTTCAGGGCTTGACTTAGCAGCTTCTTCAAGGTGCCTTTATCAAATTAGCCCTTTCATGAGTGTCCCATAGTCCATCAAGTGCTTCTGTTCTTCTCTCAGACATGGAGGTGAAACAGCTGGACAAAAGGGCATCTGGCCAGAGCTTTGAAGTGATCCTGAAGTCCCCTTCGGACTTGTCCCCTGAGAGTCCAGTCCTCTCTTCTCCCCCTAAGAAGAAGGACCTGTCCCTGGAGGAGCTGCAGAAGAGGCTGGAGGCTGCAGAGGAGAGGAGGAAGGTAACAGGATATTCCAGAGAAATGCTAACTCATATGACCAATCATGTTTTAACCAAGCCCCCCAGGTGACCCCAATTCATAATTGGGGGCAGAAAAACTGATACAGTGCTGGGGGTGAACAACACCATTGATTTCACGTAGGAGCCATATCTTGTGATTGGTAATAGTGCTGTGTTTTACACTCTTGTTCAACCCCCAGTTGTTAGGTTTGATGTAGGAACCACTGGATGAAATCCTCTAGCCTGAGTTATGCAGGAGGTTAGAATGGATGATCACATTGGTCCCTTCTGGCCTTAAAATCTATGGATCTATGGAATCCTGTGGTCCTCTGGTTTAGATTTTCATGTAGTATTGTATGTGTGACCCTATGCTGCTGCAGAATGAAAATCTCTACCACTAGCTCTCTCTATAGGAGATATAAATATAAGCCACACATCCAATAAAGCTTAGAATCAGTGCCTTTTGCACCATGTCATTGCTTTTTAGCAGCTGGCAATGCTATTTCTGCACTTCATTTATGAGCATAATTTAAAGTCTTAATGGAGAAAAATATTGGAAAATTAGAGAAACTATAAAGAGAGGGAAACCACGACACTACAACAACTTGTGGGTAAGAGCAGAAGAAGAGTCGGTTTAATGTATGGGGCAGATTTCCAGAGGAGTCGCAAATTGCATCAACAGTGTTGCTCACACAGCAAAGATAGACTTTTGGATGTTTAACATCTACCTGCCTGAAATGCAGGTGCAAATGTAGAGGTTTGAAAATGTGTTCCATGTGATCTAGAAAGGATTTGTGGGGTGGGGAGAACATGGTCACAGTATCTAAATATCATCTAATGGACGGAGGGGGGTAGCCACATGAATGCAAGATGGTTGGACCGAAAGCAATGGTCAAAACCTTAAGAGGGGCAGATAAGTTTAGAGTAAATATTGAGAGCAAATCCTATAACAGAGCTGCTAGGTTTTGAACAGACACCCAAAGGAGGTGGTTGTGGCACATCCAAGAAGACATTCCAGATCAGATCAGGGAAGCATCTCTGAGACAAGTGACATGAAGAGTTCCTTTCGCACACACACACCCCTGATCTGTTGGCTTCCCACAGACCCAGGAGGCCCAAGTGCTGAAGCAGCTGGCGGAGAAGCGGGAGCACGAACGGGAGGTGCTGCACAAGGCCCTGGAGGAGAACAATAACTTCAGCCGGCTGGCTGAGGAGAAGCTCAACTACAAGATGGAGCTGAGCAAGGAGATCCGCGAAGCTCACCTAGCTGCCTTGAGGGAGCGACTGCGTGAGAAGGCAAGTGCTAGATTCCCATGTCCAGGCACACCTAGAGAATGGGCAGGGCCAGGACGCCTGCCTATATTATAGTGGCTACTGGTACCAAAGCCTTTGCCTAGCATCTGTAGCCTGGTCTGCTGACCTCAAACGCAGCTGGGATGATCACCACGAGAGCAGAGCTCTGGATACAATCTGCATCTTCTGCACCACCATTTTCCTAGGTTAGCTTGTGCAACTCTCCCTCCTCAAGGTGTCCAATGTGCTCTCCCCACCCCTTCCCTCTGGAGCCCTGTTCCCCCGTTTTCTTCTCTCTCTCTCTCGCTGCCTCATACCTTCTTGTTCTGGTTTTTGGAGGGGGGTGGGACTCTGTACTTCGCTGTGTGAAAGTGAGTACTGAGGTTTGGGCTCTTTCTTGCCACATCTGACCTCTCCTCCCTCAGAACAGGTACTAAGAGAGTTCTTCAGCAGTAGCTCAGGATGCCATGAGATGGAGGAGACGTGCACCTGAGATCAATGTAGCAGGCCCAGGCTCCCTCACCTCCGGTCTAATGGCAGAGAATGTTACCTTATCTTCTGCTGGCCCTTGCTTGGGAGCCCAAAGGCAGCAGTGAACTCAGGCCTCCTCTGCTGCACTGTGGTGTGATAACTGCTCATCTCTGGGGCCAGAGGTTACAACCTCTTCTGGTCTCAGTGGGGGCGGGACATCATTTGTGTGGGGCTCCTTCTATGAGACAGCTGCAGCAGGCTCTGAACACTGGTACTGAAGACCCATTCACAGAACATTCATGTGATGTGCCTGGTCTTTTGAGCCCTGTATAGGAATGGGCTAAAATTACCCTAGGTGTAAGTCTAGTGGCTTCAGTGGAATTACACCAACTATGACAATGTTCTAGTGCATTTATTTGATGGTGCCAGGCCCCTGAGGAAGAGGAGATGCACAGATGCATGCACAAAACCAGAAACTGTTAAATTGTAGATGAAACTGAGGGGAGATGGGAAACAGCCTTGGGTTTGCCCTATGCAGCCTGCAGATGCTGTAACACTTTCCATGTCTTTGCAGGAACTGCATGCAGCTGAGGTTCGCAGGAACAAGGAACAGCGGGAGGAGATCTCTGGATAAAGGGCTTTTCTACACATCTAGCACCTGGTTCCTGATAACTAACAAACCAACCAACCAACCCAACACATTTGATTTTGTTTGTCTAGATGCAACATTTGGTTCCCCATTTCCCCCCACCCTCTGGTGTTCGTTCCCCAGCTACACGCTTCTCTCTCTCTCCATCCTTAACTGTTCAGTACTTGTGGGGGATCACAGGCCATAGGTTACCTCTAAGCATAATAGCAGCTAGTTCATATGAAGTATAGAATCAGTCAATAACCAATCAATCAGCTTCTCTTTGGGATTTTGTTCTTTTTAAAAAATCTTTCTTAAACAGATGTAAAGAATTCAGATACTAATAAATTCAACCAGCAGTGTCATGGAGATATGGATTTCCTATCCGGAGCTTATACTACGCTTGGCATTTGCTCTGAGCTAGGTATCAGTGTCAAGACAATGGGCAGTAAATAGTGAGGATTTCTTCCTTGTGAGGGAGTGGTTAATGGATCCATTGTTTCCCAGCAGATGGAGAAGGGGACCAGATGGCTCAAGGAATTGGTTATGTCATGCAGAGCCTTTCACCTTGGGTCACTGGTTTGAAGCCAGCCCAGGTAGGTAGTGACTTAGTCATTACTTTCGGATGGTGCTTTGGTAGCCCATGTGAAATTAGCTGGGGGTCTCAGAGCCTAGTGGACAGGTGCCCATATCACAAAAAATACCATCAACACAGGCATTAGTGGCTATCTTAGCTGGCCACAGGTTGAATAAGCCTGTAGGCTGAACTACCCTCTCAGTTGTAGAGGCAGGACTGGGGCACACTGGCTAAGCAGTGTCGGGGAAGCCTGCACTATTACTGCCTGTGTTGAACCTGATTCTGTGGATAATTGAGGCAGCTCGGTTTCCAGGCCTGTCAATCTGATACTTTTCACAAACAATAACATTTCACTTCAATTAGTAAATCAGTAAACTAGAACGTGTATGTGATTGCGAATCAGCCCACAGGCCTTTAGAGAAACTCTAATTTGGGAGAATTATTGTTCCGTCTTCCCGAAGATGGACGTGACTCTTCAATACCATTACAGGAGAGACATTTGGACCAAAGATCACAGAATGAACCAGAGAGCTCTGGCTCTCCGGCCTCACGTCGTAGCAAAGGACACACTGATCTCTGCAATGGTGTCAAGTATCAGGGGGTAGCCGTGTTAGTCTGTATCTACAAAAACAACAAGGAGTCTGGTGCATCCGAAGAAGTGAGGTTTTTACTCACGAAAGCTTATGCCCAAATAAATCTGTTAGTCTTTAAGGTGCCACCAGACTCCTTGTTGTTTTTGATCTCTGCAATGGTATTTCCAGAAGAACAGCTTTGGAAAAGATGGTGGGGGGACGCTGCCAAGGAGAGGGCAGAAGGGGTTAGGAGATGTTTGTGTGCCTGCTTCTGGTGTAGTCATGGCGGTAGAAATGTAAGGTCATTGTTTACAGAGATGGCTGGTGTAAAAGCAGATGATGAGCCAAACTGTAAGGGGTCTGCCATTCCATCTCTGAGGTCAATAGAGTTGCAGGCACTTAACGCCAGATCTGAATTTGACTTGATACATCAACTGGCGTTTTTATGTCTGGCTAAAGTGCAAGAGGGCATCCACTTAAACTCAGTGAAGACGTGTGATAGGGTGTTTGTGCAGGGTTCGGCTTGCCCAAGCGCATTCCCTTGTGGGAGGGTTTTGTGGAGGAGAACATGGCAGCTCCTTTTCCTTTTGGAACATAGAGCAGCAAAGATTCCTTCCTTCCACCTTCCAACGTTTGCAGTGTACTGGTACGTTTCTTCCAGACCAGTGCAGTGTTTCCAGGGAAAGGGAGCAGAAGCAGGAATATAGGCACAGATACAGGAAGGACTCATGGACTCAAATTCATCCTCACTGTGTCACAAACTTCCCCTCTCCCAGTGGCCATAATGGAGTCTGTTTCAGAACCCAGGATGAACTAACAGGCCATCAAGGGGAACAGGAGGTTACTTACTAGTAACTGGTGTCCTTTGCACACATTGTCTTCAAAAAGCCACTCTATAGGTGAGGCACACTACTCCTCCGGTGCGCCTCTGCAGAGGCAATGTCACCAAGGAGAACAACTCGTGCAAACAACTGTATGCTCTGGGGCACAGTGGGTGAAAGACATGTACATACTGCTTCCTTTTACTGTACATAGAGTGGTTCCTGGCAGGCGCTGAGGGGTGCCACCAACCAGAGTTGGGATAAGCAGGGCTGGAATGTCATCTAGCACAAAGGTGGGGTCAAGACGCCAAAGCAGATAGAGGTTTCATATTTGGTATAAAGTTCCCCTCGCACCCCCTACCCCCCAACAAATATTTGCTGACTCAGTTCTGAAGGTGCAGGTTTTCCATCTCCAAAGAGCTGGCAGAGTGTAAGGAATCCGCCATGCCCCAAACCAGATGGGTGGCAACTGGTCACAAAAACCCAGTAGTGTGGGAAAGAAGTGGCAGCTGCTGCTGGAAATACGGCTGCTCGCCTCTCCCTAATCTACCCGAGAATAAATTCTCCTTTAAACTAGAGAAGATCCCTCTATGGCCACAACATGTTTATGGATATTAGGGGAAAGCTCTGCTCCAAAAGGGAAGGGCTAGCTTAGCCCCAAACCCCTCGGCCAGGGTCAGAGAAAGGCCAGGACTGTTATTTGGCCCCAGTAGCATCCAGGGACAGGAAGCATGTTAGGGGCAGGGTGGGGAAAAGGAAAGGAACTGAGGGTTGAATTTCTTAACCGTAGCTAATGATCAGTTTATAAGTAGCAGTTGTCTTAGATAAGCATCTGTGTACACTGCGGAATCATCGCCAGAATCATCTCATCCATATAGTGACAATAAATTTTAAAAAGTTAATGAATAAATCAATAAAATGTTTGTGTGTAAGAAATGGTTGAAACTGTCAAATGTCCGTGTCTCACACCGGTGGGAGCTGAGAAGGTGTCTGCAAGATATTAACCCTGTCCTACTCTCTGTAGTGCTGAGTGTTTGCTTGGTGTGTAATTCTGACCTGAGGCTTGTTGTAAATACTGTTTTTAGTACTATGACGATGATGATGATTATTATTATCAGAAATGTTGTACTCATGAGCACGAGATTAAACCAAACGAGAAACAACCATTTCCACTTTGATTACCCACTGGGCTCAAAAGAATTTGGAGGCAGGGCCAGGTGAGGGCAGGATGCCTGGGGCCATGGGATCCAGGCCCAGAGAGAGCAGTGCATTGGAGAGGCAAGTGGCTGCACGGTTCATAGCTGTTTGCTGCCTGCTGAGGTGGCTGGGCTGCCTCAGGTGGAAGGTAAATCAGGGACTCGGGCGTAGGAGGCAGACCAAGAGTCCTTCAGCCAGGGTGGGAACTGGGAGAATCCATTCCAGGAGTGGGGCAGAAGGAGGGTCAGGAGAAAAATTCTAGTAAAGGGGGGGTGATGTTTCAAACACAGCCCTAAAATGTAATGGAACCGGGCCCAATTGAGTGTTAATTCAACCCCGCCTCTGGGGAGGTAGTCCAGTCTATTTCCTGTAACCATGGAACAAGACTGAGGGAATGGATGGTTGTATGTATGATGCAGAAGAAAGTGGGTAGCTGCAGACTGTGCTTTGTTGGGGGCATTCCTTCCCTTATCCTGTACAGTCACCGGGTCTAAATTTTTGCCTCTGCTTGTATCTTCCGTCTCAGACTTTCATGGTGAAGCTCCCAGTTTAAGATCGCCTTCACACAGTTACTGGCCAATTTTGATCTCAGGTGAAGACTTATTCTTGCAATAGCTTGCCTGACAAACACTCAAATTGGTGATACACACAAAACCTGGCCAGAGAGGAGCCTGGGATATAGAGCTTGTGCAGACAGGAGAGCTGGGAACCTCATTTTCTTCACCTTAACATCTTCAGTGCTGTGAGGTACAGTGGACATGTCAGGAAAATGCATTAATGCAGGATAAACTGATGCATCAGGCAGAGAAACAGGGATGTGTCAGGTAGAGGTTTGCATCAGTAATGTCAGGGAACGGTTTGTTACATCTGATGGGATATGTTATGTTAGGGAAAAATGCTTGTCTGGTGTGCGCAGGTGAATCAGGTATAACATGGAGCTATGTCTGCCCCATGCAACTGAATGTGTCAGGGAAATGAGTTTGTCCAGTGCCACTGGCTGTATCAGGGAAATGTGTTTGATTTCTGTGCCTCTGGAATGGAATTCCTGTTGCTTGGAGGGCCATCCCACGAACACTGCAGATGAAACGTTCGCATAGTCCAGACTGCAGCGGGGAGGTTAATGACAGGTGCAAGACACATGCCTGAACTAACACTGTGCCTGACAGCATCAGACATCGCTTTGATCTTCAGTTCACACATCCGTATCAGCTCACAATTTCATTCCTGTTGAGTTCCCAGAATTGCTAACAAATAGTTTGTGCTTGAATAGGGGTTTCTTACCCCCCCCATTAACTCCCTTCTATTTCCATCACACTTCATTTTTCTTGTGGCTCTTCAGCCATTCCCTCACGTTGCCATCTTCAGGCGTATTCCATGGCATGCAATTTACAAATTCCTGGGGCACCGTTTCTTATGACTGGGCTCAAGCTCCTTCCGTGGCCTTCTAGGGTATATCTACTTGGCAATAAAATACCCGAGGCTGTCCTAGATCAGCTGACTTGGGCTCAGGCTGTAAAATCTTAGTGTAGCCATTCGGCCTTGGGCTGGAGCCCAGGCTCTGGGACCTTCCCTCCCCACAGGGTCCCAGAACCCACATTTCAGTTCAAGCCTGAATGTCGACACTAGTTTTATAGCCCCCGAGCCTGAGCCCAGAAGGCAAAGTCAGCTGACACAGGCCAACTGCATGTGTTTTATTGCCGTGCAGCCATACCCGTAGACACTCATTGATGGGAATTTCTAACTAGACTTGCTGTTAGTGGCCACTTGTCAGAGCGTATCTACTTGCGTAACCGCTTATCTGCTTTGGGCCACATTCTCTTTAGGTGTAACTTCAATGAAGTCAATATTTACACCAGCAGAGCACTTAGCCTAGTGTGTATTCCAGGTGTAACAGAAAGAACTGTGGTGGCAAAAGACCACCAGTGTATATACACATTTCAAATTCCTAGCTCCCTCCCTGTTCTCTTGGGCAAATTAAGGACTCCTACCCTGTGCAGGAAAAGGAAGATGAACCTGAAGATAAATTACTTCCCAGGTGTCACAAGCATCTTGGTGATTAGCAATTCTGGGGTAAGAACGAGAACAGTCTGGCTCATGTTCCAAATATTAGACCTTCCATTTGCTTTATTTAGAGTATGTGTTCGGATTTGGCTTTAAAGGGATTCTCTCAATGCTGTATGGCCCATAAACTG